GGTTGACTCAGCCTTCCATCCTTCCGAGGTGGGTAAAATGAGGACCTGGATTGTTGGGGGCAATTTGCTGACTCTGTAAACCACTTAGAGAGGGCTGTAAAAGCACTGTGAATCGGTACATAAGTCTAAGTGCTATTGTTAAGAATCCTGCAAGGGAAACTCCTGTTGTCTATAAAGTCTTCCTCCTCCTCGAAATGTATCTGCAGGGCATACCAACCAATCCTCCCAAGATCAGCACTGCAATGTTGCTTCCCCCTGTTGATTTAATGTCATTCCTTTATTTTTTAATTCCGTTTGAGAAGACGGGATGACTCACTGGGGCACAGACCTCAATTTCCAGAAAGGATGAAAAAGGCAGGTGGGGTGAAACAGCCTTAATCTTTTTTGTTGATCTAGTGTTTAAGATTGGGAATCCTGTATGAGCAAGTCAACCCTTCAAAGGCAAAGCGTGCTCTATTCGTGACCATTAATGACACAACGGTGAAACCTGATTAATCTCTTAAGGAGCAGCTCTGCTAAGCTAAATCCCAGGCCAGCAGCTTCCCTCTGCAAACTTCTTATTATAGCTCATTTGATGGGATTCATATTCCATGGCTTGAGACTTAATGGAAAACTGCAGGCCCAGAAAATCCAACTTATGGCTAGAATGTCAGTTCCACACTCTTGTGTCCCTGTTAGGATGTTTTTACATTAAAAATCAACAAGCTGGTTTTTCTCTGAAGACATTTCGCTTCTCATCCAAGACGCTTCTTAAGCTCTGCCTAGATGGTGTAAGCATTTATACTTCTTTCAGACAGCTGGTCATTTGCATCCTTTTAGATAGTTGTTAAGGCCACCTGGAGGTTTATCTGTGTCCTCAAGAGTCACTTGAAAGGTAGAAAATGGGTGTGGAGCCTTCTTGGAACTGTTGAAAGGACTGGATTGTAGACTGGTGATAGATAACGGTCATATCCCTCCTCCTGTCGAGAGAGGGCTGTTCAATTTTGACATAGATGATCCCTCTTGAACCCTCTTTCAAACCAGCAATCTGTCTCTGTTCAAAATATGGACTTTACTGTTTTCAAAAGTGCAGCCTGTGTCTTTGGAATGCAGATGGACCGCTGAATCTTATCTTGATGGGTTTGTTCTCCTATGTTGTGCCATGCATTTATGAAGTGGCTGTTTTGTTTCCCCAATATACAGATGTGCAAATTTTTCCATTCCCCACCATCCAGTCAGAGTTGAAGGAGTTTCTTGGATGAGACGTGAAACATTATCAAAGAAGAAGAGCTGAAGAAGCTTCTTGGATGAGAAAAATTAAGTTAATTTAAGTCCATTTTATGTTAATATTTATTGTTTTCATGTTTTATCTCAGTGGTAGTCAACCTGGTCCCTACCACCCACTAGTGGGCATTCCAGCTTTCATGGTAGACAGTAGGGGTTTTGTCTGATATTGAAGCACTTTCCTTTTTTAAAATTTAATTGACTTTTAAAAAAGATTCCATAGCATTATTTAAAAACATTTTCATTATGTTTTCATAAAATCACCATTACTGTGGAACTGGTGGCAGTTAGAAAATTTTACTACTAACAGAGATACAAAAGTGGGTGGTAGGTATAAAAAGGTTGACTACCCCTGTTTTATCTTGTCACTTTCATTTGGTTGCAAGCCTCCTAGACTCCTCTAGGCAGGATGAGAGGCATATAAAATTAAAAATAATTAAGAAAGAAATAAGGTGTGGATATCACCACCCAGAACTGCAAAAGCCCAGTTTTTAATCTCCGAAGCTCAAGCCACAGTGGGGTCTTTTCCAAGCAGATAGAATCCTTACTCCAAAAAGCGCCAGGTGTTTGCTAGGTGATCAAAGGCTTCAATGGATCATTTCCTTCTTCTTAAATTCATTTCAAAAAAGTCCCACCTACCTTTTCATCCAGGAATATTTCTCCTTTGAAGTACGACCGAAAGTTTGCCACCTCCGTCCCAATGTTCTCTTTCACCACAGCATAAAGAGGGACCCCGACCTGCTCAAGTTGGGGTTTCAGAGAGGACAGCTCAGCGGCCTCCTACAAATGGAAGGACAACTTGAGTCAACCATCACCCAACTCAACTGCAATAGGTCTATCAAAACAGATGGTTATCCTCAATGAACGACCACAACAGAGCCCAAAATTTCTGTTGTTAAGCAAGACATTTTAAAGTGAATTTTGCTCCATTTTACGGTCTTTCTTGCCTAGCTTCTTAGGTGAATCACTGCGGTCGATCAGTTAGGAACCCAATAGTTAAGAGAATTTGGCCTCCCCATTGCTTGTCAAAAGGTTGCCAAAGAGGGTCACATGATCTTGGGACACAGCAACGGTCATAACTATGAGCCAATGGACAAGCATCTGAATTCTGATCACATGATCATGGGGATTCTTGAAAAGGTCGTAACTGTGAAAAACGGTCATAAGTCACTTTTTTCAGTGCCATTGTAAAAAGCCAGCCACTTTTCCCATGGGTCAATGATCTATGGGGACCTCGTGACACAGTGATGCAGTATTGTAGGCAAACTCTGCCCACTTTCACAAGTTCAATCCTGACCGCCTCAAGGTTGACTCAGCTTTCCATACTTACAGGGTCGGTAAAATGAGGACCCAGATTGTTGGGGGGCAATATTCTGCCTCTGTAAACTGCTTGGAGAGGGCTTGAAAAGCACTGTGAAGTGGCATATACTGTAAGTCTAAGTCAGTGGTGGGATTCAAATAATTTAACAACCAGTTCTCTATCCTAATAACGGCTTGGTGGTCATGTGACTGGGTGGGCATAGCCAACTTGATTGGTCTCACCCTTAGGAAATTTCTCCTTAGTCTAACTCTAACTCAAAATAAAATAGCACTGTTCCAATATATAGAATGTTATGGAATGGAATGGAATGGAATAGAATAGAGTTGGAAGGGACCTTGGCGGTCTTCCATCTAGTCTAACCCCCGGAGCTTAATGCTGAAAATGCAGGATGAAAATACAGAAACATAAAAACAACACTGCAATCCTATTGCAAATTAATAAAATCAATTCTGCTAATAATGTGTACTTAAAAACACATAAGAATTCTGATAAGAAACTCCTGCACTGAATTGACATTTTTAAAACTCTTTCCCTGGCCTAATCCTGTCAAGAACAAGGAGAGATTCAACCTGGAAATAAGGACAAATTTTCTGACAGTGAGGAACAAAAGTTGCCTTCGGAAGTTGTGGGAGCTTTATTACTGGAGGCTTTCAAGGAGATTGGACTGCCATTTGTCAGAAATGGTGTAGGGTCTCCTGCTTGGGTGGAGAGGTTGCACTGGATGACCTACAAGGTCCCTTCCAACTCTGTTAATCTATATAATCTGTAACTTTCTATTGTTTCTGTGCTGACTGCATTCTGGAGGTTTTGTTACTGCAACAAAGTATTCGCCTGTTAAATGGTTCTTGGCTGTCTGCCCAGAGCTATTAACTGAAGGGAGAGAGAAGGAAAAAAAAAACTCTATTGCATTTTATCTTCCCTGCCTAAGTTTTAAAGGAGCTAGAATTTTTCTGCTGAGGAAACAGCTATGTGGTATTTCTTCTTTTTCTTTTCCCTTCCTTTGGTTAATTACAAATGAGCAGGAAAGTCTGAGGTGTGTATAAGCTACTGGAATCATTAGGCAGGCAGAGGTAGCCTTGACTATTTATCTGGTTTGCAGAACTCTACAGAGTTAACAAATAGTTCTCCTGAACCGCTGCAAAACGGCTGAATCCCACCAGGGCTATTGCTTTTGCTGTCTTCCAATAGGAAATTGCTGCTTCATCCTGCTTTAGGGATATTTGAATCAAGTCAAAAATTCCAATTTGTCAAGGATTTTCCAAACTGGAAGAGTTGTGGAGGATGAGCATGTCTGCATGGTTAACTGAATTTGTCTTCTTCTCCGAAGGAACGTTGGTTTGGGAAGAGCCGGGTTACAACAAGTTTAGCTTCCCTTTCTGAGTTTTTTCCTATAGTAACCTAAACTTTACGTAACAACCTCACATTCTTCCTCCTTTGACCCAATACCCAACTACTGTTAACGGCTCTGCTCCTAATAGAGCAGAGAACACCCTACCTCCGTCCTGTGTGCACTTTGCTCCCTTCCCTCTCTATCCTGTTTAGTTTTAATTGGATTTTTAATTTTAATATTTTTTTAATTGTTTTAATATTTTATAGGGCATTTTAAGCAATGTCTATAAGCTGCCTTTGGCGTACAAGTTTAATACATAAATGAGAAAAACCATCACAAAATTCCAGGGTTGTAGGCTAGGCTGTTTGAAAGAAGGCAGTAGTAGAAAATTAACACATGTGTTTGTGAATTCACTAAAAGCGCAGCATGACTCAGAAGGGGATTTTACTTCGAATTTCTAAGCAGAAGCTAACAAACCATAAGCTGTTTTCCTTTCCAGCTGTCCAAATAACTCCCATAACTACTAGAAGATCCTTGGAGCCCTGGGCAAGCAATTGGCATGTAAGGGGATATTCTTTAAAACTGGTCTATGCTTGTCTTGATTTAGTTCTTTCTAAGAGCCAGCATTTGTACTTGGAGTAAACAACTTCAGGTTGCTCGTAGGATTTCATGCTCTTAAACACACACACACAAACAACAAACACATAAACCTTCTGCCCCCCATAGGAAAATCAGATTGCAGGAATGAGACTTCTGGCTTACAAGAAGAAAGACAAATGTAGAAAACAGGAGTTACTTAAAATAGTGATTTAAGACTCCAACATAGTGTCACGTTATTTTGTCCTTGAAAGAATAAGTTTGTAAATCCTATCAGCTTGCTAGAAATTCCTGGCCTTGGGAATTTGATTAGTGCTCCACTTTTTGCTGACTGCAAAATCATAAAGACTGGAAGGGACCTTGGTGATCTTCTAGTCTAGTCTAACCCCCTGCCCAAGGCAAGTCCTTGTTCCATCCTGGACAAATGTCTATGGAGATTCTCAGTCATCCAGGTCAGGGTTGTCCCAAAGGTGCTTTTTCAAGAGGCAATTGGATTTTCTGGTTTTTCTTTGAAGACATTTCGCTTCTCATCCAAGCAGCTTCTTCAGCTCTGACTGGATGGTGGAGAATGGAAGGATTTATACTCCTTGCAGACAGCTGGTCATTTGCATCCTTTCAGAGTCCAACAGACACTTGGAGGTTTGTCTATGTCCTCTGGGTCACCTGAGTGGTGCAAATGGGTGTGGAGCCTTCTTGGAACAGCTGGAAGACTGGGTTGTGGAGATGTGCTTTCTGTGGGATATTTCCACCCTGTGTCTCTTCATATTGAACACAGGCTGAGGGATAACAGTAAAGGGACACAAGTGGCCTCAACGACTCTCTGAAAGGATGCAAATGACCAGCTGTCTGCAAGGAATATAAATCCTTCCATTCCCCACCATCCAGTCAGAGCTGAAGAAGCTTCTTGAATGAGAAAAGAAACATCTTCAAACAAAAACCCGAAAGTCCAGTTGCCTCTTGGAAAAAAGCACCTTTGGGACATCCTGGACAAATGTCCAATCTTTCTTTAAAAACTTTCAACAATCACAACTCTGGGAGACAAGCTGTTCTATAGTTGTTCCGCCAAGAAATTTTGCCTTCCTTCTAAGTTGGATCTCTCTTTAACAAAGTTCCACCCATTGCTTCTCGTCCTGCCTTCAGGGCTTTGCAGAATAGTTAATCCCCTCTTCCCTGTGGCAGTACTTCCAGGGATTGTCCATGACTGTGAACCTGTACCAATAACTCCTGCTAAGCCAGTTCAAACCAGTCATCCCGCTAGGTATCTGGCCTATTTCCAGTTTAATAAGCTGCTGTCTCTGCTAAACTACATTGTTCCTTCTTTTCGGTTCCATGTTTTCAAATCCCCGTTTTCTGCCTTTTGTGCTCCCTAGAGATTATAGTCTTTTGTTCTTTGTCATTTTATTTTTGTCCAATTTTCCTGCACCTGCCAGGTTTTTTTTAAAATATAGATTTAGAAATGTTTAAAAGCTTTGTTCTCCTGTGCTCCTTTTGATTCACTGCCCAAAGGATTGGCAGCTAAGGAACACAGGATGTAATGGGATGCTTGAAACCAGAGAAAGATTTGCATTATAACTACGTGAACATTGCTCCATTCTCAGTTAATGGAACAAACTTCTAATCATGTTCACATGAGAATTACAAATAAAAGACAAGTATCTGCCTCAAACACCAGGAGATCAATTAAGTTGCTGAGATTTCCAAAATCTTATTCTATCCTCTTTCAATAAATCTTACTAAACCTATTACTGGAAAAAGCCTTGCTTTCTGGCCTGGCATAACAGAATAACAAGAGTTGGAAGCGACCTTGGAGATCTTCTGGTCCAACTCCTTGCTCAAGCAAGAGACGCTATACTATTTCAGACAAAATAATGTCCAGTCTTTTCTTTAAAACCTCCAGTGATGGTGCATCCACAACTCCTGAAGGCAAAGTCATTCAGGTGTGGTGGGTTATCCAAGAACTTGGCACACAAGCAGGAATTAATGTTCACATCTTGCACACACAGGTGGTGGTAATGGAGAAGGCTCATGATCCAAGAAGGTCAGGAGCCAAGTTGTGTCAACTTGGAGACATATCCTTCTTCCCAGCCTCCTTCCATGTTCCACTCATCCATAAGGTTTGATTGTTTACAACTTCATGGGTTTTATCAAAAGTATGAGGTATAAAACCCACTTTTATCAAAAGGTGGCACAGTACTTAGAATGCAGTACTGCAATTTGGCAGTTTGAATCTCACCAGGCTCAAAGTTGACTCAGCCTTCCATCCTTCTGAGGTCAGTAAAATGAGGACCCAGATTGTTGGGGGCAAGAGGCTGACTCTGTAAACCATTTAGAGCAGGGGTCACCAACCTTTCGGATTTCAGGGACTACTACATTCATAATTTTAAATCCCATGAACCACTAATATGAATTTTTAAAAAGATAAATAGTATTTAGTGCAATATAAAAAATGCAAATAATTTTTCTGTGGACCACCATAATTTTCTCAAGGACCACCGTGGACCACTGGTTGGTGACCGCTGGTTTAGAGAGGTTGTAAAGCACTATGAAGCGGTATGTAAGTCTAAGTGCTTTCACTCTTGCTATGCAAGCTAGGCTACATTTTATCCAATTCAAGGTGCATTCATTCATTTTAAAATCATGGTCCAATACATGTTAGAGTTTCACAGCTCTACTGAAGGCCAATGAAATATTTTATCCCACATCTCATGATGTGGGTAGAGCCATTTCTAAGCTCCGGTGGTTAGAATGTAGTATTGCAGGTTAACTCATTGCCTACAGCCAGCAATTTGATCCTGACCGGATGGCTCAGAGTTGACTCAGCCTTCTGTCCTTCTGAGGTCGGTAAAATGAGGACCAGGATTGTTGGGGGCAATAGGCTGACTCTGTAAATCGCTTAGAGAGGGCTGTAAAAAAAGCATGAAGCAGTACATAAGTCTAAGTGCAACCACTATGAGCTTTATTCCTCTCCTGTAGATCTATTCAATTCCTATATAGCAATGATGGCGAAACTTTTAGGGACCGAATGCCCAAAGTGCAACCCAAAACCCACTTATTTATCACAAAGTGCCAACATGAAAATTTAACCTGAATAATGAGGTTTTATGAGGAATTTCAATCATTCTTTCAGAACTTGACTTCTCCCTGATGGCACTGGATTTCTTTAACAGCACAACTCAGGAATGATGGGAGTGGAGTGCAGTAGCCTCTGGGGGGCCGTCACATCCTTATTCCTTCTTTCCTTCTTTTCCCTTCCTTCATTCCTTCCTTCTTTTCCCTTCCTTCCTCCCTTCCCCCCTTTTCTAATTTCACTTTCCTTCCTTTAATCCTGTATATTATGGTCCGTTATTGTTAGCATTTACTAAAGAATGCTGTGTAGCTTAGAAGCTCTCAGCAAAAATAATAGCAGCTGTTGTTTGTGGATGAAGCTATCCTGGGCTGTTATTTACACACACACACACAGACACACACACACACCTATTTTTATTCCACTTTCCCTGGGTCCTTGGGAAAGGAATGGTGTCTTTTCCCCATTCCCGTCTTTAATAAATCCAACGCCCCTCGCAGCCTTTTAGCTACTATTGTCCCACCTTGCTCCCCCTCCCCTTAAAACGAGGCTAAGGAAGAAAGGCGGGAGGGGGGAATCTAAGGGGTACGGAAGAAGAGGCTCAGGCAGACCCCTCTCTGAAGAGCCCCCTGCCGAGATTTCAACTGATTTCCTCTCCAATCCTCCGACAAACAGACCCTTCCCCCCTTCTGGACTCTGGACTGCCAATCTTTATTTTCCCCATTTATTGGGGGAAATTGGATTTTTAAGGGGTCTTCCCTCCCCCCACCAAAAAGAAAGCCAGCCAGGCTTTTCCTACTAGAAGCCCCCCTACCTTTCCCCCTGCTCCATCGTCCTTTCCTCCTACCCCACACTCAATCCAATTTTGGGACAGAGAACTGCGCTGGAAACGCATGTTGGGGCAAGGTGGGAGCACTCCTTCTGACCCTCCAGCGCTTGGCTCACAACTCTCCAGGCTTCTCCAGGCCCGGCTTGCTGAGGAGGGGAAAGCAGCCCTGATGCCTCCGCTGTCTCCCTCCATAGCCCCAGCCATCACTGCCCAGTTTCCTCAAAGGCGCAGCACATTTTGAAGGCGGCAGCTCACATTTGGAGTTGCCAAACAGTGCCTTGCTGCAAGAGTCAGGATAGGCCTCTCCACCATCTGACTCGCCAATGGGGGCACTTCTCCTGGGCTACNGCCGGTGAGATTTGAACCGCTGAACTGCAGATAACAGTCAGCTGAAGTGGCCTGCAGTACTGCACCTTAACCACTGCGCCACCTCGGCTCTTATAAGATATAAGATCCGGTCTTATTTTTGGGAAAACACAGCACCTGTATTTCAAGGAGGCATCCCTGGGAAAACCGAATGGCCGAAGTCTAGATTGGAAGGGGGCACATGATGTGGCTCAGAAGGGAACATGGATGGGTCCCATGTACACATTAGGATGTTTCAGAACTTTTTTTTTTTTTTAGTGGTGTTTCACCTCCGCAAACAGTCCACAAGGATGTGAGCTATGTCCACCTCTTTATTTTTCACTATCGATCAATGGCCTAGTCTTTTAGAACTAGGATTTGGAGAACAACTCAACCATCCCCAATGCCCAGAATTTAGATAATTAAAGTAATCACATTGGGGGCTTTAGGCATGATCAAGTTTCCTACGGCAATGAAGTTGATAGTCAATGAAAATGGTACTAGAATATTTGTAGCTTGGAGTTGTTATGGGGCTATCTGAGCCTGGGTGTTTTCTTGCAGACATTTCATTACCCAACTAGATAACATCATCAGTATTAGAAGGCAATGAAGTTTGTAGAAAGGAGGAGGAAGAGGAGGACTGTGGGTCCCTCCCCAAGTGGTTGGTTTTTTTGCAGACATTTCATTACCCATGGTAACATTATCAGTGCTAGAAGAGAGAGTGGTTTGTGGAGGGGAGTGTTTGCTCTCTGTGTATATACTACTGACTTACCTTGTCAGTATTAATGGGAATGTTCTTGGTGGTTCCTTTATTAGGCTGTAGTTTACTATTAGGTTGTTCCTAAGAGTTGGTAGTTCCTTGATTTTTCTACCCCAATCCTTTCTAGCACTGATGATGTCACCTATTTATAGTTCAAGGTTGAAATGAGGCCCTCCTAGCTTGGGTGTTTTGTGGCCGATGTTTCATTACCCAAGTAGGCTATATCATCAGGGCTAGAAGGGAGTGGGGTTTGCTCTTTGTTTATGTACAAGAGGCTTGCTCTATCAGTGTTGATGGGAGTGTTCTTGGTGGTTCCTTGATTGTTTACCCTTGTTCACTTGTCTGAATTGATAGTTCCTTGATTCCTCTACTCCACTCCCTTCTAGCACTGATTACGTTACCTAGTTCAGTAATGAAACATCTGCAAGAAAATAACAAAAATCAGAGGCCACCAAGGACCCTTAAAAAAATGGCCAGAGGACCACAATGGAATATAGAAGAATCAGCTTGCCTTTTCCTAACTTCGTCTTATTAGGAGACCATAGTAGTGGTGCAGTGGTTACAATGAAGTATTGCAGGCTAACTCTGCTCATTGCCAGGAGTTCGATCCTGACTGGTTCAAGGTTGGCTCAGCCTTCTGTCCTTCCAAGGTTAGTGAAATGAGGATCCAGATTGTAAGGGGCAAGTCGCTGATTCTATAAAGCACTTAGAGAGGGCTGTAAAGCACTGTGAATTGGTACATAAGTCTAAGTGCTATTGCTATCTTCTTTCCCAGTGGTTAGAAGGCAGCACTGCAGGCTGACTCTGCTGACTGCCAGCAGTTCGATTCTGATGGGCTCAAGGTTGACTCAGCCTTCCATCCTTCCGAGATGGGTAAAATGAGGACCCACTTTGTTGGGGGCAATTTGCTGACTCTGTAAACCACTTAGAGAGGGCTGTAAAAGCACTGTGAATCGGTACATAAGTCTAAGTGCTATTGTTAAGAANCTCTTCACCCTGCCGACGAGGGAGGAGGAAGACCAGGCTTGGGGGATGGTCCCCACCCCTCAAGATTAGCCCCCGCCGTTCTCTCCCAGCCCTCTTTGCTGGTGGCAACAGCAAATGTACCATGACGAAGATGGAATGCAGTTGCCATGTAAAGGCAAGTGCAGGGGCGCTTCACTCCCACACAAAGGCTCCGCCCATCGCCACTACCACAACAGCTCTTTCATCCCGCTTGCCGCGACAGGGCCACAGAGAGCCGCAACAGAAGAGTGAAAGAGCTGCATGGGTTGCATTGTGGCTCCGTGTTGTAATGGGCTTCAGGAAGAGGATGGAATCCCTTCTCCCCCATTGTGAAGCATGCAAATGAAAAAATTCACCCAATCAATTTCAACTGAGAATTAAGTGAAATGCGATGGAGAAATGCGATTGGATCTGGGCTGGGGCGACGGCGTGCATGCCCAGAATGAGGGCTCTGCGTGCCATGTCTGGCATGCATGCCATAGGTTCGCCATCACAGCTATATAGTGACCCTATTTCCTTTCTTGTAAATGATCTTTTATTTCAGAAAGTTGTCCTTTAGAGTCATTCATTCATTAAGAGCTGTGGTGGTGCAGTGGTTAGAATGCGGTGTTGCAGGCTGACTCTGCTCACTGCCAGCAGTTCAATCCTGACTCGGCCTTCCATCCTTTTGGGGTTGGTAAAATGAGGACCCAGATTGTTGGGGGCAATAGGCTGACTCTTAGAGAGGGCTGTAAAGCAATGTGAAGCTGTATATAAGCCTAAGTGCTATTACTGTTCTACCAACCTGTTCAGATAGATCTGAATAGTATCTGCAACGTGCATGGCATGTGCCAAGACTGTTTAAATGGGGCAGAGGATCCTTCCCTCAATGTGACTATGGTACTCACCAAACATTGGATCACGTAAGAACTATCTGCCATTTGAGAGCTTCTACAGGAGGAAAATCAGTTTTTCACCAACTAACAAATACTCTGTTTAACTGAATAAATGGCCTAGATACTAATATATAGAACATTCCATTCTCATTAAACAACGCATTTCAAAATGTAACCTATAACTAACATGGAGAATTATCTTCTCTTGCATTATGAGTTTGTATTGTTAGTGATTCTATTATAAGTCTCCTGAACATAGAATTAGATCACAGCATAATTTTGCTAGAGTGTTAGCACTGCATTTTTGTGTCTGGACAAGTCTTGTTGGTGCATTAGCATTCAGAAAATGTAAGCAGCACAGCAAGCACCCAAGCTGGAGTTTCTGTCCAAGACAATAACTGCTGGGCAGGGTTAATAGGGCAGCCGGTTTCAATTAATTCTTAGAATCTGTTCTACTGGAGAACATACATTACCTCTCTGCACAAAAATCATCCAGGCCGCCTCACCGCCATGACGACAGCACCCTTCGTCTTCCACAGATCCTTGGCTTTGAATGTCGTCTGTTCTCCTTGAGGTCCAGGGAAGGAAAGATAAAGTTAAGCTCCTTTAAATCGTGCTCACATCCTGATAAACTCATGGAGAAGTCCAGACTGTTGTTTGAGCAGCAGAGATGGAAGTGGTTGGATTCTGCCTTCTACGTGGATGCTTTCTCAACTTTCCAAATTTGGTTGTTTTCTTGCAGACGTTTCATTACCCAACTAGGTAACATCATCAAGGTTAGGACCATTAGCACCAATGACACTATTTAGAAAACAAGCAATCTTAGAAAGGGCGTTGGTACTTACCTGATACGCCTCTTCTCATAGTGGGGGGAGGAGTATCCAGAATGGGGGTTGACCTTGATGAT